TATCTCTTGACCTGATGCCTTCAATGCCAATGATGAACTAAATGTCTGAGGCAATTAGTTCATTCTTAACTACCCTAGTTTCTCAACATCCGACATCAAGATCCATGACGCTTACTCCACATGGTTGGTTCAGATTTCGAGGGCGGTTTACGACTTGAAATTGAATGTCAGGTCACAACAGAGTCGTCCAGGTAAACCAAGTTTTACCCGACCCGGAGGTGGGAACGGATCAATGCTGGTGAGGTTGCCTGCTTATGTAATACGACAATCTGTGAAGAAAAAAATTCGTACAAAAAATGGCTCCCTGCTTTTCATTTTGTACTTTCATTTTCTCCCTCAATTCAGCAAATAGCATACAGCGCCAAGTGCCCATAGCAATTCTGCAAACTGAGGGAAAAACACAACTTCATATAAAATTGCAAAGGTAAGTTATATACAGTACAAAATTGCACATTATCCAATCAAGTTACCAACGGAAAAAAGCAAACCCCAAAGTCCACCCAAACTTCTACACATTCCAAGCAAGAGGGGGAAAAACCAAAGAAATCAAAAAAGAAAGTTCAACTTTACACATCTTGTTCCCTTGTCTCTATGATTTTGTACAAATATTTCGATTTACCAGAAGTCCTCAGCAATTCTTTTAACACGGTGCTTTTACTTGTAATCATTTAGTGGTTGTCATGAGCATGGAGTTTATGACATGCATGATTAGGCGAATGTTGGCAGGCTCGGAGCCGTTAGTGGTTGGAAGGTTGCGATGGTGATTCAATACTTGATATACTTGCTCGAATATGGGACGGACGTGCACCAAAATCATTGGGTCGGTTGGATTTATAGCAGATAGAATATCCCGCATCCATGTAAGTTTCCGAGGTGTATCTTTGCTAATATCGCAAGACAATTGTTGTAGAAGAGAGAGGAGAACACCTTGGCTCAAAGGGAGGGGGGTTATCGATAAAATTCCTGGTATATCAACCTGGTAGAACAAAAAATAAGCAAGCTTATCAAACAAGTACAGACCAAAATTTCTAGATCGTCCACAAGCAAATTGAGGCAAAAACTAACAAACAAATATCACTAGGAAAAACAAGAAAGCAATATGGGATTGCAAACCAGCAAGATGCACAACATATTGAATTTCCACAAAACAAGAAATAAAAAATTATAACAATGTTCGGCTAGTGAAGTACGTAAAATTTGACTTTTAACTAGTAGATAATTAAAAGGGAATTAATTTTACAAATACAAAGACAAAAATGGAGGAATTTGTTTGAAGTCCGTGTTCTGTTACACAACCCGGAAAGAACTCAAGGGTGTCAATATTTAACTAAAAACACTATTTGTACGAAATAAATTTACCTCAATATTTGTTAAATGACAATGCGATGTACATGCTTAACCACGTCTGGCATCTAATTAAGAATAGTATCATTTAGTTCATTAATCTACACGACAATTTTCTTGACATTTCAGGCATGAAAAGAAATCCGGATCTTAACACAGCATTACAAAGCAGGATTCGTAAAAGCATATTTGAGGTGTAGACAACGGCAAAATAAAGCATACCTGAGAGCATAACCATGATACAATAAAAACATCACTCCTTTGCAGGGCTGCAGTGAAAGCCTCCTCGTATTTACGCTCAGCGATCAATCTAGAAAGCTCTTTTGTTGGATCGAGAGGTACCTCAAGCTGAAACAATAACATCTCGATTCAGAATGCATAGCAACAATAAATACTTTTGACAGTAGAAAACAGAACTATCGTAACAAAACGCAATGCCTTCTACTAAAAAGCCGAACAAACTTGGACAACAGAGCAGACCTTCTCATGGAGACCGCCCAAGGGACCATTACTGAGTTGGCTAACCAAAGGATTTGGTGCTTCGGAATTTGCTCCGGCAACAGCAAGTGCCAACAACCTTCTTTGACCATCAAGCAACTCACTGCTAAGAGTATTCACGGCCGATGCTGAACTAATAGCATCCTAAAACAAGTAGAGTGATAACAAACTAAATAAACCACTAGGACAATAGACTAACTAATTTGGTGATCTTCTTCAAATTAGCAAGAGAAAAAAGATACAAAATTAGCTGAGTTATGTACCCTCAGAGCAATTGCCAATGGTGAATGCGAAGACTCAAAATGTTGCTGAGCTGCAGCTGTATGTTCAATTCCTCCTTTCTGGAACGTGGCATCAACTTGCTCAAACATAGCCCTGCATGACATCTCAAAGGCAGGTACCACAGAAGCTTCCAAACTGGATTTCAACGTTTCCTGCATTACAAATTGAAAAAAAAAAAAAAGTACATCAATCAAAGTTGTCCAGATTCATTTGGCCACAAAAGCTGATATCAATATCTGATTAGCAATGGGCGGGGGATAAGAGAGGAGAGAGACGTTTACCAATTTATCATGTAAAATCAGGAAGTTCTGCACAAACTACTAAATTGAGAAGCCAAATAAACTTATATAACTATTCTGATTGAAACAGAAAATATTAAAATATCCAACAGAAGGAATGGGCTGATTTTATCACCAAAAGAAATTAAGTTATTACAGCATGAAACCCAAAGGGATCAGTCTCGAAAAAATTTGTTGCAATTGCTACACACAACAAAATATTTTTTTCCAACCCGAGAAGTGTAAAAAAGTAGATATTTTGGGCCCGCACAAGCAGACACAGACACTGGTGTGGAAAGAAACAGCAAACAATATACAACTGTTAACACAATAGAAGCAATTCCAGAAAGTAATTTTAAGTCTTTCTACAAGCATGCATAAGGCTAATTTAATTACTCCAATTGTTTTCCTACTCTTTCTAACGTGGAATGTACCAAAATAAGAGCATCGTTTCACAAACAACTATTTATTTATCAGACTTCTCAGTTATATCCTCAACGAAAAGACGCTGCAAAATAAAAGCAATCATTATTTGGACGTGCATTCTCTTGCCTCACATTATTTCACAGAGAGAACGAAGGGGAAAGTAAAAACTTAAAGCTCAACATCATGACAGCAGACTTCAAAGTATTGTTTTGAAATCCTTTCCTAAATATGGTACAGGGAGTAAGTTACATATTTTCCAACGCTTGAATCAAATTTCTATATTTCTACTTGTCTCTTTACCTGAAGCGCTTGCTTGCCAGAAGTTTGGAATTGTGTTTGGATTTGCCTGGCAACTGTGGCTTCAAGTTTAGAGCTGACTGATTTCTCCAGTTGATTCACAGCTTTATCACTTACTCCTTTCTGATCACATGAAATTAATTAGGATCTGGACTACCATTAGATCACAATAGAAGACACTCAAACAAAGACAGGAAAAGGAAAAAGCTAACCTGGAAGGCCTCAGTGATTGATGTGGATGCTGTTTTCTCAAGAGAAGGTATAATTGTGCGTGCTACAGCTTGTCCAACTGCGGTAAGTTCTTTTTTAACAGTTTTCTCTACAATTGATGATAAGTCCCTGTTTAAGCAATTATTTACCATATCTGTCAGTTGCTGTGTACAATCCCATGATGCCTTTTCCTGTTTTGAAATCTCTTCCTGAAATTGAGCCCACAGAGCATCAGCATTGGCCTCAACAGCTTTCTCCATCCTCCGTCCCAGTGCTGACTCAAGTCTTCTGCCTTCTTTGGTAACTGGGACAGCAACCATTCCTGTCATCTGCTTCTGCATCTCTTTTTGCGTAGCTACAAGCTGACAAAAACGCAGGTAAGAGTGAGTATGCAACTGTTCACACCCAACAAAATATATCATGGACAATTTACTTTTCAATGTAAATAAATACTAGCACATATGCTATGTGATGCACAACCTAGTTAGGCACCAGAGGGATAATTGGCTCAAATTAGAAAAAGGCTACGTGCGATGCCAATAATCTCAGGTCCACAATTGGCTCAATGTACGACAATGACAATAGGATCTGGCCAAGATTGCATAAAATTTCTTGAGAAGAAACACAAAATTTCAGTGCAAAAAAAAAGCTGATTCCAGGAGAATAAAATTACCTGAGCCCAGAACAATGAATGATAGGTCAAAAAAATTACAGAAATAGACAAATCAAACAAAATATCATGCTTCCTAGATCGAAAAAACTCCAACTTCAAAGAGGATATAACAGTTCTGAAAGACCAAGTACAAAGAATGATGTATTGATCAATACTTGTTGCAAGAAATGAAACAACATCAGTTCCGAGTATAATTATTCAGATTATATGTATAAAGGGAAGAGAACTAATAAAGATACTAAAATCCAGAAAAGAAATAAGCTCCAATGAAGTAACCTGATTAAGCATCTCTTGCATGGATAAAACTTGTGCAAATGCAGTTTCTACATGAGGATTACTTAAGCTGACGCCTGGTTCATTGGAAGAATCTCTAGAATTGAAAGCACTAGGTGATGGTGAAGATGGACTTGATCCTTGAGCACTTTTTCCCTTGTGTTTTTTACCTTTCGTACTTGGTGCAGGTGGTTGTTGAACTGGCATAGGTATTGACGAATCGATAACCTTCCTAGATAATTCCTTTGTAGAGTCTTCCTCATCTAGAGTTGACGGTTGGGTCACCGACTCACTTCCACCAATCCCATCTAACCGCCTAGTTTCCTCTACTATACAAGTATCAGGTAACGTTTGACAATCTCGAGTAATGTCAATTCCTAGATCAGAAGCTTGAGAATAAAAGGATTTCTCCTTGTTCTTTGACCCAAAATTGTGAAGTTCTTGCAAACCAATATCATTATTTTGACCATCACCTACAACCTTGACATCCACCTCCACATTTCTTGTATCATTGCTAATTACCACATCCTGAATGTTTAGTTCAGGATCGTTTTTGGGCTCATTAGCACGGTTCATGTCGGAAGATGAACTGGCCATCAATATCTCAGAAGGAGTTATCAGATGAGTTGGGTGCTTAAACTTACTCTGATGGTCAAGAGATGTGGAAATATCATCTTGAGAAAGTTTATTTTCATCATTTATTGAATCACCATCCATTAAAGTAGCACCAGACGAGTTTGCATGAACAGCATCCATTTGCCTGTCAACTGAATGTTCCACGACTTTAGGATCTGCATCATGATCATTCCCCACAGGAACAGGCTCAAAGCTGCTTGACGGACTTCTAAAACCAGAAAGTTCCCTGGACAACTTGGGGCTCAAAGGAGGTGGAGGTGAAGCAACAGAAGCAACACTAGGATTATGAGTCACTACGGATAAAGGAACTGGTTTGGTTTCCATATTCGAAGTAGAGAACTCTTGTAAGGTGGGTGATTCAGCAGAAGCAGCATTGAAGAGGTATCTCGCTGGAGATGCACTCTCTGAGCCACTTTCGGGTTCAGATGGTTTAGTTGTTGAACTAGACAAATGTGTTTCAGTAGATTTACTACCAGAAGGCCCATAATTGGTAAGTCCTTCTATAGTAGCAGCATCATGCGAGATGCTAGAGTCCAACTTCTCAAACACTAAATTATCCATCGGTGGCGGCAGGCATTGTGACAAGTCCAAAGCATACTGCTGAATGGCCTGAGTCTGGACACAATACACCTGAACAATCTGCTCACCATGCGGGAGTAATTCACTCGTCCCTGTAAAACTCAGTATTGGCATTGTGACAGTGAATTCTGCTATGTAATCCATGCGGGTTGATGCTGGATTAGGACCATATTCTAAGTGCACGGCATATATAGCATTCCTTTTGGCATTTGCCAGCAAGAGAAGACCAGCGTGCGACAAAGCTACAACTTGATTGAAGAAAGCTTCTTCTACTTGAGCCTCTGCCGAACTCTTCAATTCCAATGTCTGAGTACAGCACCACGATTCAGCCTCGCTAGGAAGTAACCACCCTTCTTCACTTGCTGATGCCCATATCTTCAGTTCCCGATTCAATGGACCCTGAACAAATTCTTAAAAAAGTCAAATAAAGTAGAGACAATCAGAAGCAACAGCAATTTTGACATAATAAAGACAGACACTTCAGAGATGAAATGAGTCAATGACTAGATGGCAGACTAGTGGGCACATAAATAATTATCAATTCATTCAAAACAGTGAAGTTTTCTTTTGTAACGCTGTTGAAAATAAAGAAGCCCCTTGAAGAATTGCATTGCAACTTTACCATAGATATTTAAGAAAGCGCTGAAAGAAAGATATGCAGATGAGTGTACCCCAGTAATAAGTATGATGTGATCTGGGCGATTAGGAGCAGCCAAAAACGTGACAGAATTAACAGGTTGGCTGTCATGTGGCCGGAGAACTGCAATTGGTAGCGACTTACGATCTTCCCAAATCTTTATCTGCAATCACAAGCAGAACTGAGTAAAAGGCTTACAAATTGTTTGTCCAGATATTCCAGTATGTCTGCAGAATCATGATATAACCAAAGCATGCATATTCAGTTATCAAGCAATTCGAATCAGGAGATATTATCAAAGTCAGTGATAATTCCCAAACACCACATACAGATTTGGGGCTTTCTCCTCAATATGATCCACTAGTTCTGAAACTACAGCTTAGTGTCACGGGGCAAAATTTCTTACACTAGAAAAATTAGACACCGTGCGGCCTTAACGCAACACAATTCTCGTCCCTACGAGAAAGCGCTAAGTCAGCCTTTCGACGCCCCCAAAAATGATTCAAC